CAATTTGCAAATCAAATCAAATATTTGAAGATTAATTTGTATTTGATTAAATAAAATTTCTTTAATTTGAATTTGATTGAATCAAATCAAAAATTAATTAATATTTGATCAAATAAATTTTTCTATGATTTGAATTTAATCAAATCAAATCAATTATTAATTTGAATTTGTATTTGATTTGATTTTTAAATTGAATATTCAAATATCAAATCAAATTGTGAAATCCTACTAATAGTTAAAGATTATAATCATATATAAACATCTCAAGAAAATAACTCACTCTAATTTCTTTTTATTTACCTTTCAGGTTTTACTTCTCATTATTTGATTTTTAAAGCTACTTTTAAATATTTTTTTTTATTTTACTTTTTATATTAATTCCTTCTTAGCTAAAATAAAGTAAGATAAAATTTTTGAATTTTCCATGAATATAAAAAACGTTTTCTGGAAGCCATACCTGAGCAAATCAATAAAGCATTTAAAATTAACAGTAAATTAAGCTATATTATTTACTTATCAAAAAACTCTATAGTCTGATAATAAGTTCTGAAATATCGTTATATATTGTATTTACTAATTTTGCTTTTTTGATCTTCTAATCCAATTTAGATGAATATCAAGATAAGCCTTTATGTTGTAATAATTGATTAACTCAAACGTGATGGGCTAACCTTTTATAGTTAATATTTTATGCTTTTTGAAATATCTTTCTATAGGATAAAACTCTATAATTGAATCAAAAGTTACTAATTTTTAGATATAACTTTCTAATGCAAAAATCATATCTCGATTGCTAGAGAACTGCAAAAATAACGAATTTAATTATTTAAAAAAGTATATTATAGTTGAGAATGATTATATCTTTCTAAACATTAGTGTAACTGTTGATTCAAATAGTATATTATACCAGTATTAGACAATTAGACAGTTTTGGACAGGTTTTGGACACAATTTCATATCTTTAAAACCTTGTCCAAAATATTTAAAACTAAAAAATAAGATACATCATTGCATTATACTATAATAGAGTGACCACTAATTTGAAACTACTGTCAAAACTAATGAATACACTAAAGCTGATCTTATTCAAAAATATGTACTTTCTTAGAAAAGAATATTAATAGTCTTCATTCGTAAATATTATTTAGAATTAATTGAGTTAATTGAGAAAATCATTATAGATCAAATGATCTAGCCTATATTAGTTGTACAATTACAGGCACACCGGTATTAGGAAAACATTTTTTGTATTATTTCTTTTTTTATATTTGAAATAAATATCCAAGTAGCATAATTTCATAATTCATTATATAATCACAATAACTTCTATCTTGTTGACACACAGGTTTTAAAAGAACAAAAACTTATATGTTCTATTTTACATTGTCAAAGAAAGAATGATCTAACAAAGCTGTTAAATCATCAGGATTCACTATATACTTTATAACAATCTGGAATCAAGAATAAATATTTAAACTTTGGTTTAAAGCATTCAAGGATAAGAAGAAGTAATCAAGAATTCTTATTTCAAGTGATTGAGAACTTGCTGAGTAAATGGAACCAAATACTCCAATCAGTACTTGCAAAGTGAAATGATATGACATATTAGAATCAATACAGTGAGTTAGTTAATATAGTTGACTTTAAAAAATATATAAATTCTATAAATAATGATGGAATGTCTAAAGATAATTTTATAAATGAAAAAATTATAAACCTTAATATGTATTCAGGTTTTATAAATAAGATATCACTTTGTTACCAATAAATTAGCTAGCAATTTGATCGATGATTATGAAAGTAAAACCAGAAATAACATTCATAATTTTATTGTATGTGGTTATAATTTTCTAGAGACTGCTTCATTTCGAAAACATCTTTTTGAAAATTATTCACATAGAAAATTATGTTAGGATGACAGTTTTAGAGTTTGATGTTTGAAGAAGAATGATAATATTGTAATTGCCAAAAAAGATATCGCTAAGCATGAGAATAACATCTACACTACATAAAAGATATTCTTAAAGATTGCTATAAAAGATCTAAGTCAAAGAACATTTCAGTTGATTCTTTTATATATAAAGATGATAATACCTTGGACTTGTATCAAATTACATTTCAACAAACCATGGAATAAAGGTAAAATAAAAAGGGCAAGGTTAAATTTTTTTTTTGTATTACTAATTCAGGTTTTTTTTGTAAGTTTATAGATTAAGAAACATTAAAAACTCACTTGGAATTATTAATATATATTTTGTTATACCATCAATGATCTTTGAAAATTATTCCTTTCAAGACTATCAGACTGTTGGAGGAAAGAAGATGAAAAAACTTCTAACATGAACTGATAATATAACTCAATATGCATTGGAGATTGATATGTAAAGGAACAGTATAAATATCATGCAATTCTGTAATGTAAATTCATCAATAAAAAAGGTGAAAACATATAATAAGTAGTGCGATTTTTATTTACTTAATATGTATGTGTGTGAATGGTGCAAATATGTGATAAATAAAAATGTGATTGTTAGAGCTGGCCGGCCTTTTCTCAATGAATTTACAAAAAAAAAAAAATAATATAAAGATTTAAATGTTTTAATTCATTGATTTTGGATTTAAAACTATGTTGACAAAAAAATAAAAGAATTCTTTAAAAAGGAACTTAATTTATTCTATAAATTTCTTTGCATATTTTGCTCTAATTTTGCCATATAAAGTTAACCATTTTCTTTGTAATTATTTAGATTAAAGAATAGTGTAACATAAATCGACACGTGATTTGTGAATTGATTATCGGACCATTAATAGTTCCATCTTTGCTTCTGACAATTCATTCTCCATTATCGTAATAATGATACTTTCAAGATGTCGAGTAGAACTTCGTTCTTATTGCAATTTTATGAATAAAAGAAAATTTTCAAGTTCTTTTATTGGTAAACAGCATGCATGTTATTATGTTATTTCTTATCTAATTTTAAAGTGAAAATTTGTTAATAATAATCTTTTTTTTTATAGGACAAAAGCAATTTTTGTTATTGGCAACAGATTATACAGATGCGGAAGCATATTCACGTAGATTATCAGCTCGAAACGATCATTTAGCAAGAGCAAAATTAGCAAAAGAACAAGGATCTGTTGTCCTTGGAGGAGCGATTTTAGCGAATGTTGAAAACAGCAATACAGAGGGAAAGATGGTAGGAAGCTTAATTATATTTGAGGCAGAAAACGAAGAACAAATTAGAAAAGAAATCGAGAAAGATCCTTATGTTATCAATAAAGTATGGGAGAAATATGAGATTTGGCCATTTAAAATGTAAGTCTCATTTCAGAGATTTTTATGGTATTTTTTTGTCTCTATTATTGATTTTTTTAAATGAAATCTTAGGGCTAAACTTATTAAGGAATAGACCTATTTTCTTGAGCATCATTGCTTGATTTAACATCCGGGAACAAATTTTATTTAGGAAATGAACATAATGTGATAATATATGTAATTCGTTAATAAAATAAATCCTTATGGTATGACTGTTGATTCAAAGAGTAAGTGAATATATATATAAATTTAACATTTTCTCTATTTGTAAAGTTACAATATAATATGTAACCTTGCTCTTTACGCTTTTGGTGTTTTTTGTGCATGAATATGCATATTTATTTATCAATAACAAATAATGATTTAAAAAACGATTAATTTTTGACGATCTATTATTAAATTCATGATTACTTATACCATTAATCTCTAATAATCTTTAATTCCGTTGTTTAATCACCTTCACTTTTCCGTTTTTTTCCTTCCTTTTTAACTTCATATGCTAGACACTCTTTATATTTCCCAACGGGCAGCTAACGCCATTATAGCCGACGTCGCTCCTTACCGCATCTCATCTGAAGCTTTATTGGCAATAAATAATTTCCTTGATGAATTCTTATATTTCCTAGTAGATTCAGCCAGGTCTTTAGATTTGGTTAAAATAAAACTTGCAATTGGTCAAGTTTTACCTACAAGTTTGGGTAAAAATGCTGTACAAGAAGCTGAACTAGAGTTAAAAACTTATGTAGAAAGTGGTAATTCTGACCACAAAAAAGAAAAAACTATAGAAATTACTCCTTTTCCCTTGCAAAAAGTTTTCGAACAATTCAGAGTAAAATGTCAATTCTTTAGTACACTTGGTGAGCGTGGTGCTGACGATCGTGATCCTAATACTGTACCAGACCTCTATTCCTCTGAAGGAATACATATTGCTCCGAGTTTAGCTATTTATTTAACTGCTGTCTTGGAATATGTGGGTGAATATATCTTAATATTAGTCGCAAAAGCTTCCGAAAAACAAGGGGTGGAAGTTGCTAGAACACAGGAAGTTTTTTTTGCTCTCTCTGAGGATCTACAGATTTTTCCTTTATTCAGAAGAACAAACTTAAAAGAACAGCTGGAGGTACCAATGTGAATTTATTTTGTTAAACGCGTTTGAAATATAATCATTATTATATCATTAATTAATTCAATTTATTATAATTATAGAGCGAATCTACACAACCAACAAGTATTAATCTTTTTTTTTAATAAAATATAATTATGATTATATACGACATTATGTTATGGGTAGATAATAAATACAAATATAATTTTTCACTATATCAGCTACTAGCGATCGTATTATCACAGGTTCCACTCATATCACTACCTCTGATTTGTCAACGTGTACTTCTTCTGACCTCTCGACTAAATCACCTATACCTGGTAAATTTAATAAAACTTTTTATAATTTCTATTAGTACTTATTAGAACTTAATATATTTTATTACTACTTGCTTGTTTTTAGGATATATGAAATCTCCTACTTCTACCTCTCCTTATTCACCACGTAGTCCCACCAAATCTGGTTCATATAATGGACATAGTAAAGGAGGAAAGCAGGGTTCATTGGATGGATTCTGTAATGATTGGACAAAAAGTAATACTTCCCCAGTAAAGTCACTTAGTGATTATGGTAGGCAAAGTTCAGATTATAAAAATATGCGTTCCTCTAAGAGTATGCAAAGCTTACAGGGACAAGGAGGAGATAAGGAATCAGATTTGAGAAGTGTATCAAGTATGGTAGGTCGAGATAGAATATTTTGCTAAAGTATAAATATTATATCGAATTTGATATTTTAGTAGGCTTTCGTTTATACCATTATGTTTGATTATTAGGAGGATAATATTGAAAAAATGAGGAGTTTTGAGACTTTGATTTCCAACAATCAGACAATGAAGGTTTCCTTAACACCAAATCGATTAATAACAATTGAGGTAGATTATATTATTATGAAAAGATTTTCTTACTCTTCAACTTTTTTATTTCGAATATATATATATATATATATTTGTCTCACATGTATTCCTCTCGGTAAATTCTCCATCCGGACAGACGCATAAAAGGCCGCCAAAACTTGCACCTCGTGAACCTGTTTCCCGCGACTCAACTTCCCTTTCAAACCTTGAAAAAAGTTATGATGATGATGATGAGTTATTTGGAAAACGTAAATTTAAAAAAGATAAAGAAAGTTTATTGGAATTTTTAAAAAATACAAGTCCAGATGATCCTAGCGGTAAATTAAAGAAAAAAGATTCTAGAGTTGAACTTCCAAGAAAACTTGGAAAAGTTATAGATAAATTGGAGCCTTTTTCTGAAGGACCTGGTTCACCAGGAAGTCATTCTCGTCATGCTCCACTGATTCCTCCTTCCTCATCTACATCTTATCAATCTGATCGTATTAAAGCTAATATTAATCGGACTTTATCATCATCATCACTGGCAAGTGACGATCAAAATCAAAGTTATGTCTCTCCAACAACGACGTCATCTTATCTTGCACCATCATTGCATTATAGTAAATCTTTCGATCAAACACAGTCGAACTATTACAATGCTCCTTCGAAACATAAATCAAGACCGGACCCTTTGGACTTATTGGAAGATGATTTATTATATACCGAAGATCAAAAGAAATCTAAACGAAGACATCAGGCTCAGGATTTAATTGATTTCCTGAGTACGTCACCACCAAAAGAAACTATTTTATCTAGTAATAGCAGTAATGATAGTGTTGGTAATAGCGGAAAAAAGAAAGAAAAGAAATTAAAAAAATTATTTTCAAGATTGAAAAAAGCTTCGTTTACTGATGAATCTACGCAGAATCTTAATGATCAAAGATCTTCTAATGCTGGGAAAAATAGTTTTTATACCCATGGGTCTAATTCAACAGGTAGTACCTTAGTCAATAAACCCGCTAGATATGTTAAAATTGAAATACCTAAAATTCCACCAAAAGAAGATAATCAGGAGCAAAGTATTTTTGATCAAGTTGAAATTCAAGGAAGGCATGCTCGTCAAGTATCAAGAGCTAGTTTATCGGGTTCAACTCGTAGTTTACAATATAATCCTAACAGATCTACATTTTCTTCTACTGGTGGAATGACAAGTCCAACAATTTTGGAAAAGAAGCCCAGCAATAGCAAATTGAATTCAGATGATTATAATGAATACATGGGAACAACAGATCGGTCAAAACAGTTTCAGAAATCTTCAAATATATTAAATATTCAACCTACGAATACTTCTACTTTGTCAAAATCCGGTACTAATAATAATAACACACATAAATTTCCCTCACCTATTACGCCTCAACAAAAATCCTATAACAGTAATGTTAATAATCAGATATTATCACAAGAGGTAAATAAAATCATACCAGATTTATCCAAAAAACAAAATACGCAAATTTCTGAAACTTCCCTGATGTCAGCAGAAATGTTATCAATTAACAATAAAAATATTATAAATGAAAAAGAGGTTCGTACAAAATCTGAAGAGATGGAGATATTTAAAGAATCTGTGAAGAATAAAGAAGTCATTTCATATGATGGTTTCTTAGCAACTATAATTGAGACTGAGATCTCAATTCAAGAAGTACAAGAAGAAACTACATTTGACACTTGTAATGAAGAAGTAGAATTAGAGGAAGCTCTAATTGTTGAATGGTTGTTGGGAACCGGTCTCACTTTTAAAAGTGCAATGACGTATATTGATGTAATGCAAGATTATGAGGATGAGGAAATGGAAAAATCCGATTATGAAGATGCTGATGATACTGCTGAATTTATTGATGACCGTGGTGAAGAACATAGCAATGTCTATTAATATTATTATTATTATTATTATATTATATATTTATTTTGTTTATCTTAATTATTTATTAGACATTCATTTGTAGATTTATACCTTCACTTATTTTTTTTCAACATTCTAATTGCAATATTTCAAAAATACAACATATTTTAATTATTATTATTAGACACATTTAATTTATCTTATATATAAAATAAGATAAAAAGTGAAGAATTCATTTGTATATTATTCATATATTACATCTTTTTTGATCAGTTATTTTGTAATATATGCTTATTATATAAATATATAAATTATAATATATATATATATATACACCAAATAAAATTTGTTAATTATATTTATAAATTTATTTTATATTATAAAATTTTATATATAATCATTTATTTGAAACAATTATATATTATATATATATAATTTTATAATTAAAAATTTATTATATTTATATTTAAAAATATTAATATATTTAATATATTTTAATTTAATAAATATTATTATAAATATATTATTTTTGATTATTATAATTAATTTTTTGTATTATTATTACTTTAAATAAAATATTAAAACATCATATTTTTTATAATTATTATAAAATATAATATAACAAATTCAAATAAAATAAACATAATATTATTACAAATTTTAAGAATTTAAAACTATTAAAAATTAAAATTATAAGTTTTTATTATTTTAATATTTAAATAATTAATAATTTATAATAACTTATTAAATTATTCTTTTAGATTATATTTTATTTAAATTACTTAATTTTTAACTTATAATTTATTAATATTTTTTTAAATTATTTTATCCTTTAAATAATAAGATTTTGTAAGCAAATTTGTTTGCTTATTTACTATAAATTCTCTTCTGATTTACTTTATAAATAATTAATATATTTTTTTTAAATTAATTATATAAATATGTAATATATTATAATAAGTATTATCTTTTAATTATATAATAAAAAATTTAATGTTACTTATAAGTTAAAAATTTGTAATTTTTAAAAAAATTATTTTAAAAAATTTTAAGATTAATTTATGATATACTTTTAGAATTTAATTTTAATTATATTAAAATATTATAAAATTTTTATAAAGAAAAATTTTAATTATTATAATTTTTATAATTTATTAAAATATTTTATGACTTTGATCAATGATAAAATAATTCAATTAGTACAAAATTAGTACATAAACATATAAACTTTTAAAAAATTTTTAAAAAATTATTATTAAAAATTTTTTGAAACTTAATTTTAATTAAAATTAAAAATCTTTTTAAAAACTTAAAATCTTTGTTAACAAAATTGATAAATATATATTAAACTATATTTTTTATATAGTAATGATATTATTAAAATTAATATTTAATATTTATAAAAAAATTAATACTTTTTTTTTAATTTTGAAGACAAATTTGTCTTTAAAGAATAAATCTCTATTATTAAATTATTAATATTAATTTTAAAAATAATAAATTTGTATCTTAAGTATATTTAATAAATATACAATCAGATAAGACAAAAAAATTTCTTTTCTTAATTAACAAAATTTTTTTTAATTATAATAAAATCAAATGAAATTTAAAAATTAAAATATTTAATTTTTTATTTGATTATATTTTCTTAACTTATATAAAATAGATTTAATATTGGATTATTAAAATAAAAACTTAGTTTTTTATTAATTAATTCAGAATATAATAAAAAAACTATATATTTGTTTAGAATATATAATACAAATATGTTCTACTCAAAATTATCAATATATAATTAGTTACTTTCCTTATATACTTTAAACTTAGTAATATTCTTATTTTCTAATAGATATATTTCTTTATAATTATATTTAAAAAAAAATTTAAAAATATTAAATTTAATTTCATATAAGATTTTAAAATAAATATAATTCTTAATAATAAAATTTCAATTAATATAAAATTTAAAATCAAAATATAATTATTGTTTTTTATTTATAAAACATTTTTTAAAAATTATAAAAAAAATGAAATATGATTATTTTTAAATTTAATAAAGATAACAACTTAAAAACTTTCTTTTTTTAATAAAAAAAATTATTAAACCAATATAGGAGATGATCTATTAAAAGTGGGTTATGATACATAGTAAATCATATGATCTGTACCTCAATTTTAATAGAATACTACCCATATAAAGAAAGTTTATTACAATAAAAAATAGGGTTTCTGGAATAAAATTCCAAATAGTGTACAGAAAGATTCCTGTTTGCCTACAAATCAATTTTAGCTATATGCATTAATTATTGAATTTAAGTCTCTAGCCTATTTTGACTCAAATCTAGATGATAATATTGAATTTAGCTAGAAATTAGCCTGTTTAATACCTATACTATTAGCGTTAATTATTCTAGTCTGATTTTAATCCCAAATAATATATCAAAAAAATTTATTATTCTATCTGCCTTAGGAGGATTCATCAAAATCAAGAAACGAAGTAATATGAATTAAGCTAAGTCTGATATTACAAATCTAATATAAATATTAACTTTTATACTATTCTGATTACCACTAGAAAGGCCATAAAAATCAAGGAACAAAGTAACACAATTTGAGCTGAACCTGATCATGCAAACCTAAAATGCATACTATATGCTAAGTCTAACTAACCTTTTTGAGATTATATTTAGCTGTTATCTAGTTTACAAATTAAAAGCTTAATGATTATGTTCTAGCATATTATAAATTTATCAATATATAGAAAACTAAAGCTCTGCATGAGCTGGCTCAATTTGGCTCACCATCAGCTCGAGCTAAGCCAAATTATTTCAGCTCACAAGCTGGCTTAGTTCGAGTCCAAAATGTGGCAAGCTGAGCTGGCTCACAAGCCAAACAAGCTGGCTCATATGGCTTACATTATTAACAAAAATCTGAAAAAAATTTTGGAGTAATTGAAAAGTTCCGGAAAGTGATTTCCTTCAAGAGAATCGTTTCCGAAATAGTTTCCTTCAAGAGAAACGTCTCCAAATTGATTCTCTTAAAGCGAAAATACTTCCAGAACATTTTTCTTTAAGAATTACGCTCCCGGAGTGTCATTCTTTAAGAAATTCGCTTCCAGAGCATCATTCTTTAAGAAATTCGCTTTCAAAGCGTCGTTCTTTAAGAATTTCGCTCCAGGAGTATTTTTCTTTAAGAATTATGCTCCAAGAGTGTCATTCTTTAAGAAATTTGCTTCTGGAATGTTGTTTTTTAAGAAATTCACTTCCAGAGCGTTGTTCTTTAAGAATTTTGCTCCAGGAGCGTTTTTCTTTAGAATTACGCTCTGGAGTATTTTCTTTAAGAATTACGCTCCTGGAGCATTTTTTCTTTAAGAATTTCACTCCAGAAGCATTTTTTCTTTTAGAATTATGCTTCTGGAGCATTTTTCTTTAAGAATTACACTTCTGGAGCATTTTTTATTTAAGAATTTCGCTCCAGGAGTGTTTTTTCTTTAAGAATTTCACTCCAGAAGCGTTTTTTCTTTAAGAATTTCACTTCAGGAGCATTTTTCTTTTAGAATTACGCTCTGGAGCATTTTTCTTTAAAAAATTCACTTCTAGAGTATTTTTCTTTAAGAAATTCACTTCTGAAGCGTTTTTCTTTAAGAAATTCACTTTTGAAGCGTTTTTCTTTAAAAAATTCACTTTCAAAACGTTGTTCTTTAAGAAATTCGTTTCTAGAGTATTATTCTTTAAGAATTTCACTCCATGAGCGTTTTTCTTTTAGAATTACGCATCTGAAGTATTTTTTCTTAAGAATTTCGCTTCAGAAGCGTTTTTTCTTTAAGAATTTCACTCCTGAAGCGTTTTTTCTTTAAGAATTATACTTCTGAAGTGTTTTTTGTTAAGAATTACGCTATGGAGCATTTTTTATAGGAAATTCGCTTCTAGAGCATTTTTCTTTAAGAAATACGCTATTAAAGCATTTTTCTATAAGAACTACACTTCTGAAACGTTTTTCTTTAAGAAATACGCTACTGAAGCTTTTTTCTATAAGAACTACACTTCTGGAACATTTTTCTATAAGAACTATGCTTCCGGAATGTTTTTCTTAAAGAAATACACTACCAAAGCATTTTTCTTTAAGAATTTTACTTCCAGAACGTTTTCTTTTAAGAAATCTGCTTCCAGAATATTAATAATATGAATTGACTTATAGTTGATGCAGATTACAAAATTTATATTTATTTAGTTTATTTAATAAATCGAATTTT